ATATATATATATATATATATATATATATATATATATATATATATTCATGAAAATAAACAATGTTGTAAGTAAACTCTGCACTGAGATTTTCTTCATAGTGAATTTTTCACTGCAGAGATCGTTCTATAGTCACTCAACAGCATAATGAAGGACCTTTCACATGCTTCCCAAGTACGAAGTTTGGGCAGTTAACAGCCCAGGTTGGGCCATGGGCGGCCCAAAGGCCCAGTCCGAGGCCAGGTTCAAAATAACCACTAAGGCCTGCAGGCTGTGCCCGAAGCAGGCCTGGTAGGCCCAAAATATTATCGGGCCGTCACTGTCCAGATATATATTGCCCGGACCCATTTTTTCGAGCGCAGGCTGGGCGAGGCCTTCATTAACATAAAATTCTAGCTGGGTCTGGGCTCCAGTCCAAAACTAAATGGGGGTGCCTGGCAGGGCTCGTGCCTACCCTATACTGTTTCGGGCTGAGTTCAGGCCCATGTTGGCCAGGCCAACCTGGCCCATTAACATCCCTACATGGAAGGAGACCTAGTCTTCCAAGTTCAATATCATCTTCACTTGCCAATACTAGGAATAGATTCCTAAATTTGCAATCATGTAGATCAAAACAGTGGATACTCAAAAAAACGTTTCAACAAACAGTGTCCCAGCTCTAGATTCCATAGGCATGTGGTATGGAGTCCATCTATCTCACCATCACTCAGCCGTCTATTCATGTTGCGCTTGAAGTCAATAAGCCTAAGGAATCTCATCAAAAGCTCCCTTTATTAATAACACCTTGCAATATCTGATACATAAAGGTTTCTTGCAGCTGAAGCATTCTATTTCCCTTATGACTCTAAGGCAATCCATATATGTCAATATCAACATGGCACTTTCCATAATTGTCAGCTTCAAACAAACCATACGCCAATGCAGCCCTCTAAATAACTCTCTCCGATCTCTTGGGGAAGCAAGCATCTATCATCTAGAGAGGATTGTCTTCAGAGAAACTCTAGCCATGTAGAAATGTAAATTTATCTATTTCTAAGAAAATTCTATAAATGTAAATCCTCTAAGAAGCAAACTCAAGAGTGGTTGTGGATGGAAATGGTATTTGAAGAGGTGACTCAAAGTGGCAGTGCGGCTCCTAACCAAAGGTTTTTTATTTCCAAACATCAACTTTTTACATACTACAAGTGTAGATAACTCTAAAAGAAAAACATGATAAAATTCGAATAGAAGATTCCCATGGAAACATGACATTGCCCTATATCTATTCAAGGATCTATAATATCAATGTATCATGATATCTTGTCAAATAAGAGTCACAATCAACAACAACCGAAAACAAAATTATTTCTGATACATGAACAAAAAGATCTTTTAATACTTTAGAGTTCAACCAACAATTTGGGTTTGGACATACCTCACTTCCTGTTCAGCAAGGCCTTTTGCCTGAACATACAATTGACGAAGTTTTGACCACACACTGTCACCAAATTTCTCAACCACTTCTGGAGCTACATTGACAAGCAATACCATGTATGCTTAAGTTGTTGGTTGCATTAAGTCCGTAAGTTATAAGAATAATCTAAGAGTTTCAGAAATTTCAATTTCAGCAATTCTAAATAAATCAAACACATTTCTATTGTCAAAACAAGTTTAATCGGTAGTTGAAGTAGAGGACACAAGAGTAAGATTAAAAGAATACTTCCATGTAGAGTCCATTTAGCAAAATTATCTGGCACAAGTGATATTTCACAGAGGCAAAGAGCCAAGCAAAGAGCCAAAGAACCTTGACACAAGACTCGCATTCTCATACAATTAATAACAAAATATATGCGACTTTGTATCAATTCTTATTTCTTCAACATAGCCTCCAGTGCCAACCATGCACTAAACACTTCTTGAATAGAGGAGATTCCATTGAAGAATATGAATTTAATGCTAAATAAAACAGTAGATGAAAAGTTAAATATATCATATTTATCCGATATTTAGTATGACAGTTGGCAATAATACATCACACTATCACAGTACCACAATGTTATTTATATGATAGCAACCACATGGTCAGAAGCTTTTTCAGATGGCATTGATAGGATTTCTCACAAGTGTCCCACTTTTGTTAAAGATGGCAGAAATTCTTGCTACAATTAAGCTCATCACGTCCTAGTTTGTCATAGTTGGTTCCTCTCCAATATTAGGATGCCGTGTGAAGAGCTTAAACTGCTCTGGGCCATAAACTTTTGATTTGTTTATATTTTGCCGACAGGTCTCAGATTCTCAAATAAAAAAGTTTTTGAATGATCGTGAGGATAACATGGCATCTCTTATTCTTTTTGATACTTCAACAACAATCTCAAAATCCTACACCCAAAACATGCCAATTTGTTACATGCTTTCTAAATTGAGCTCACATCGGTTCCAATCCATGTGCACCTTCAAATCTATAGAAGAGAACAATCTCCACCACATACCATTACAATAAGTTACACTTACGGCATTCATGATATGTGAACAGGTCACACTATTGTACTAGAGAGTGAACGTTATCCACATGATGTCATGCCATGCTGTATGTAGGTTGCAAGCAATGTAAGAGTATCATGCATAGCAAAAAGACAGGCACCGGTCATTCTGTTTACAGCTGGTTATTTCTAACTATACACGCAATCTAATGTTGATAACCATACTATTTCTTCATAAGCCCAAACGATATTTCATCTCACACTTTTACTATAAATGAACTTCTTGCTCCTTCCTTCTTAAAGTCAGATCAAAGTTGGTTAATTTTCTAATTAACATTGGAATTTAATACCTGAATTATGATGCAGTTTGAAATTTCACAAATATCACAAATTGAACTACAGGAAATTGAAAGGGAAAAGAAAAAGGAAACTAAAATACTAGTTCCACTCAATAAAAGTAAATTTCAAATATCCCACTTCTATTAAAACTAGTCTTGAGGGGCGGGGGCAGGGGTGGTGGGGTGGGGTGTAACCCACGAAATATGGTTTTTCTTTTTTTTGTCTTTGAACTCATACAATATGATTTGTAAGGAACTAAGACTCTCATAACAATTTTTCAGAAATACCTCCAAACAAGTAGAAAATAACCCAGCCCCCTCCCACATTTTTTTTTCTTTTTATATTTTATATCTGTCTTCCACCATTTCCAGGCAAAGAAATATTCACTCTTAAACACCCACTTCCTATGAATCTGCAATCATTTTTTTCTTCCCAAACTAGCAATGATCGTTCTCTCTCTAAAGCCCACTTTCTATACCACGCAGTACCAAAAACTAAGTTGGGCACCTTTTTTCTTCTTGTTCTTGAAGTAAAGTTATTTACCTTGAAAATCCATACCCTTTAATTTTCTTTTCATCCCTTTAGGATTTGGGATTGGCGAGCCATAATCAGAGTATGGCAATTGCCTAACCCAAGCTCAAAGTAAAGATCACCAATTTGCAAAAATATCAACAAATGAACAAATTTGAAAATAAAACATAATAATAAGCCAAAATAAAGATGACCCATTACAAAAGAAATAAAATGAAGATCGATAGGCCCAAAAATCAGATGCCGAAATGCAAAACCAGAGAGAGAGAGAGAAGAGTTCAAACAATGACAACCCATTAGTACAACGCATAAATTGGAAGATACAATACGCATAGAACTCAAATTTGGAGCAATTTAAAAGAGAGAGAGAGAAGGCATAGTTACTTGCTTGGGAGAGCTTCTTGTGTATCTTATTGATCTCGTTATAGACATCTTCCTGCTCTTTTCTGAGTCTATCGATCTCTTTACAGTTATCAAACATTCCAACTATATCGATCCCTGACATCTGCTCCTTCTTCTTGCCCCCAAATTTCGAACCAAAATTATGGAAAGAGAAAAAAATAAGAGGAAAGCAAAAGCCTATTGCTGATTTTTAGTATGCACATTCAGATAAGGAAGAATAGCGTACAAAGAGCAGGCTATACGGACGGTTCAAAAATGTCCCCAGTGTATAGTTTTTAATCGAAACCGTCCATATCCATCGGAAAGGGTCAGTTGGGAATCAATGCAGCGGGACCTTGGACCACTTTTGCTTGCTGACTGAATATAGGAAGGAAAATTGTTATTTTCATGTGTGAAAGGTGTTATATGCGTCTGGGGACGCACTTTTATATTTGCATCCTCGAGGCATCAACGATATATGGTGGCGTATTTTCTCGACCACTCTCATAAAATCAAAGGGAAACAATTAGTTTGACCACCTAAATTTAGGAGAAATCTTAGGGATTATGAGATTAAAAGATTAGAAGAAATCTTATGTTCTATTCTTTCTACCTCTTTGAAGTCGTGGTTATCTGATAAAATCATAGGGATAGTTAGTTTGAGCCCTTAAATTCAAGAGAAATCTTAGAGATTTTGAATTTACTCAAAAATAAAAACTCTGGGTGAAGGGGAGAGAGAGAGTTAAAAAAAAAACTATTTTTAACCATGTAATATCGAGAGAGGTAGAGAGAGGATACACATACCCACAAGAGAGAAAACAAATTTGGGTTCTTGAATAATCAAAAATTTTAAATTTTCGGTTATTCAAAAATCGAAATTGGCCCCATTAATACTTTAAATTAAGTTGTTTAACAACCGAAAAATGATGAAATCCTTTTTTTTTTTTTTTCATTTTTGGCATAAAAAAATAGACACGATGGTAATAACGGAAACTATTTGGTAGAGCCGTAATAATAAAAACTATAACATATATATATATATATATATAATTTTCCCAAAAAATAAACTATTAAGAGAGGATGCATCTCTATATATTAATTTAGTATAATGTAGTATAAGATTTGTGTTACAATACAAGAAGGTCACGATGGACTTTGCAAAGTTAGACTTGAAAGTAAGTGACTAGAAGCATGTACATGTATTAGGCTGAAAATTCAAAACAAAATTTATCATGACACACCCAAGTTCACCGATTTGATATCTAAGTACTAAATGTGATTGTGAAATCTTTATGCCAAATGTATATTATATCATATAGTATGATCCACGTCATTGTCAATATTGTATTACTAAGCCATAGACTTGCGCCAATGGTTTAAAAAACGGATCGGTGATCCGCATCGGGCTTCCAAAAAATCAATCCGGATCGGCGAATCGGCGATTCGGATCGGGAATCGGGTGAATCGATCAAAATAAAGCTTAAATAAAATCCAAAAAAATTATTAAAATTTATTATAAATATTGTTTTTTAGGAATTCAATAAGAAATGAGGGTACTCCATTAAGAATTTTCATGTTTTTGAATGAATATGCGAATATTGATATGTTCTTTCCCTGCATGAACCGCCGTTCAGCATTTAATTTACATCACACAAAAGGATAAACATATAATTATCATGGAATAAGTATATCAACATACATGGACTACAATAAAGTATAAAATTAGTAACATATGATCTAAAAATAAAATGATAGACGACGTTATTGTTCTTCTTAGTCACGCGGGTGCCATTAATTGAATTCGTTTAACAATTCATTGATTCGATCTAAAAACGAATCATCGATATTAGCAGGCGTCTGACTATTCCCAAATCCCTGAGTGTTAGTGTTTTGTTGTGTTCCCAATCTAAAATCCCCGAAGATTGTTCATCCTTCATGCTCACCTGTACTGTCGTACTCATCCCTACACTGTTGCTGTTGGGACTCGATATGTGAATAATATGGCTGGGATAGGGTGGCCTCAGAATCATCATCTCTCTCA